CCTCAACTAAGGATGAAGACGCACTCTTATATACATTCTAATTTTACAGATTGTCATCATGGGATCTCAACGCTTACAAGAGCAGGAAGATGCATTCAACCGGTTAAAGTATCAATTGACAGATGCACCTGTTCTTCGATACCTGATTTTAATAAGTCATTTATTATATATGCTGATACTTCTGGGACCGGTTTGGGCACCGTGTTGGCCCAGAAAGATGACCTAGGAAAAGAGTACGTGGTGGCTTATGTGAGCTGCTTATTGACTAAAGCAGAAAAAAACTATAGCGCTACGAAACTCGAGTGCCTTGCCATTGTGTGGGCTATTGAATATTTTCGCCTTTAGACCACTTTTTCGTTGTCACTGATCATGCAACGCTGAAGTGGCTGCAAACTTCAGCATTAACTAGCCATAGAGCTCGATGGATACTGCGATTGCAGCCATATAATTTTAAGATTATACACCATTGTGGTTGAAAGCATAACAACACGGATGCGTTGTCAAGAATTCCTGAACCAGCTGTAATGCCGGAGGCTCCTAAAGAAAAATTTGAGTCCCAACCAATGATAGTGGATGAGTGTTAGTAACATCCACTAACAAAAAAAATAATAAAAAAAATCTAACAAAAACAAAAAAAAAAAAAAAAAATCTGATTTAATTAAAAAAATCCAGACCAGGTTACCAGTGTCCTGGCTTTTCCATCATTCTCTTACTTTATTCAGAGTGTTAAGTCTTATTCTCCCTTTTTGATTTGTTTATAAGTCTACAGTAGTTTAGATAAAAGAATTAAAAGAATAAAAATAAAAAAAAAAACACACGCACACACTAACTGGTGGATACAAAATAGATTTTGTATATTACTGGCAGCTCTTTCAATATCTTGATACGAAATTCTTACTAGCGGCTCTGAATACAGAGCAAAGGCAAAAATTAGTGAAGAAATCAGAGTTTTATGAGGCTAAAGAAGGTCTTTTGTATAAAAAGGACTGCAAAAAAGAGGGAATTTGCTCTGGGTGCTACAAAGGCACTAGGTCAACCCAGTCTTGTTTTTGGTACATACGCATTTGCTAAGCGGCCACTTCAATAAGGATGTGATGTTTGGGAAGATTCAAGATACATACTTTTGGCCCCAGATGTACCAGGACATCCGAAAATATGTCCAAATATGTGACCCGTGCCAAAGAAGGACCTGACCCCATATGCAGGGTGCTTTGCACCCTATCCCTGTTTCGACACTATTTTTCAAAATTGGGTTAGATTTTGTAGGTCCCCTCTACCACACACCTCGATTGAACTGATATATTTTGGTTGCCACGAACTATATGACCCATTGGCCCAAGACACATGCTGTAAAAAAGGCGAATGCTCAGACAGTTGCTAAATTCATATATGATAACATTGTATACCGCCACAGGTGCTCTGATCGAATTCAATCTGACCGCGCTACTTACTTTCACAACGATGTCATCAAGTTTCTTTTAAAAAAAATGAAGGTGAAGCAGCATTTTTCTACCCCATACCACCCTTGTACAAATGGTCTCGCCGAAAGGTTTAATTAAACTCTGTGTAAGGCCATAGGTAAGTTGGTCAAGAACATTGTCAATTGGGACTTGTTGGTCCTCTCGATTCTCTTTGCATATCGTATAGCCCGAAATTCTACCACCTATATGATACCATTCTTTCTTGTATATGGCCATGAGGCCAGACAACCGGTCCACTCCAGCCACTCCGAAGCATTATTGAAAGATACGATACTCCAAAGAATATTTGAACTAATACATAAGGTATCTATTGTCAGGATTCAAGGGGTGGAAAAGTTAAAACAAAAGCAAAAGGCTGTGAAAGCCTATCATGATCTGAAATATCACATAAGCGTTAGATTTGAAATTAGAGAAAAGGTCCTCTTGAAGGATGCAAAAAAGAAGTACTCACGAAGCGATAAATTCGCCCCAAAATGTCTGGGCCCCTACTATGTGCATGATAAACTCTCCAACGACTCCTATAAGCTAAGGATATTGGAAAAAAAAATGATCTTGGCCCCCTTCAATCTAAGCTTGCTCAAAAAATATCATGAAAGAGAAAACTCTGAGGGTGAAGCAAATAAAACCCTGTAAAAAGAGGGTTGTACATTAATCAAACCCAATTCAGGTAAATCGACTGGTACCTTGTAGTACTAGAGCATATTGGTAAGCTCGGTTTTCCACGAGAGCATGAAAAACTAAGTAGGGGTGAATTGTTAGCGGCAGAATCGAGGTGAAAAAAAATAATTAAATTACGCATTCGGGACGTAACCTGCCCCAAACAGAATTAGACGTGGCAAAGCCCTAGAAAAGTCCTAATTAAGATATTGCCACATCAGCCTCTGGAAGAGGACCCTGGCTGAATAATTGCAAAATTGTGGCAGAATTGAGGCTGTAAGCTTTCAAGACCAAGGTAGAATCAGGAAATTAGAAAAATTAAGTCCATAGAAGGCCCATCCTTCTGTGAAAGAATAACCAAGCACAACTAAAAAAGGAAAGATGTTCTAAGGATCGTCCACCAGTATGGGGCAAAGCGGGAAAAGGATGTAGCAGTGCTAGGACGCCACTAGCCTTACTGTGGGGAAAAATTGTAGTGAAGATGTTATAATTTCAGAGTAAAGGGCAAGACTCAGAATTCTATAGTTTTCTTTAGTTTTTTTCTTCCATTTCTTTTTGTATAAATAGAGTAGCAATTTGCTACCGTTGTAAGAGCATTGAAGTTCGCTTTCAAGAAAATAAAAGATATGATTCAAATAAAAACTGATATATTTCACCTACAAAAAGTCATTCATTTATCTTTAAAACTATGTCTCATAAACTAACTTGTCTTACCTTTGCCAAATCTAAATCACCGCCTCTACCTTTGGTTTGGTTGTGTGGTTTTTGTGGTTTTGTGTGTGTTTGATTGGTTTCTTGATTCATTTTGCTTTCTCATTTTGCCTCCAACAATATAATTTATAATAAAAAATAGTTAGTAAATGAGCGGTGAGTAATATATGATGTCTATGAAATGAACTTGTCTGTTGGTAAACTAAGTTGTCTGTTAAAATATAAACACATAATAGACAGAAAAATATCTGTAAAATGCTTGAGGCCACTATCATGGCCTAAAACATCTATTGATTTATACTACTATGCTGATATTTTTTTTGCCTATTATGTGATAACTTAAAACTGCCTAGTTTCATATATTAAATCTCAAAAGATGAAATGATGAAACTGATGAAAGGTAATGAAGATGATGAAAGGTGATAAAACTGATAAAGATGATGAAACTAACAAAAAATTGAAACTGACAAAAGCTAGCAACCACAACAATTTCAAGAATAAAATATTATCTTATGAGTCACATTGTTTTTTTGTAAAATGAAATGAGGCTTATAGTAGAAAATAAGAAGCACTACTCTATACATAATACAAATCACATGCATTATAGATTTGACCACATTTTATAGTTACCATTACAGTAATTATCATAAATTGAATTTGAAGATTAGCAAATCTTTTGATAACAGCTTTGACAATCTAAATTATCAATATCATTCTGGCAAAAAAAGAAAGAAAAAAATGCTGTTAAGTTCATAAATAATATAAAAATTTCATATATTTTATCATGTATAATTTATTATTTTTAATCTCTTCTATATATCTTTTTGTACTAGTTTGCTATAGATTATTTCTAATAAAGTTTATAATTAGACATGGATTATTTTATTTATTGGTTATGCTTTTACTTATAATCTGCTACATTTTCTTTTTAATTAAATGGAAAAAATTTTTGTCAAAAATTTTTATATGTAATATTTGCAAATATATCTAAGTACTTATTAAGCAATTATTAATTATTTTAAAAGTGCTTATTATAAATATTTATTAAGCAAGTTTAATGCAACCTTATACCAAATAAGTGTTTTTATAATAATTATTAAATTTAAAGTAAGGTTAAATAAGTACTTATAATAAGTACTTAATAAGTACTTAGCTATATTTTAAAAATTAAATAATTATTTGTTTGTTTTTAAAAATATAATATAATATTATAATTATATATATATAAGCAAAGTTAAAAGGTCTCACCTTAATACCAAAAAAAAAAAGTAATAAGCAAAGTTAAAATTGAAGTTGGTACCAAAGTCAAATTTGTATAAAAATCATTTTTCATTAATATATCTGAAGCAAGTTTATTAGTAAAATTTTGTATTATAGCAAAATTGAATAAAAAAATTTTATTTAAAAGTTTTATCTCTTTGTAATACTTAATAAGTATTAAAATTAATTACTTATTTAATCTAAGTGTCAAAATTAATTAATTATTTAATATTGTTTATTTTTTTTTCCAATTCAGCAGTCTTGTCACTACTTTATTAGGCTATTATAATTTTTATATTATATATAAAATTTTATAACTTTTACAAAAGGCTATTATTCCTTTTGATATCTAAATTACAAGTGTTGGCTTGCCCAGTTGTTTCTAGAACACCTATGCATGACTTGCTATAGTAGAAGTTTACTTCAGTACCAACTTGCTTTGATATAAGTTTATTGATACTTCATTGAATAGTTTCTATAGCCTGTTAAGACTACTAATTAGCTTTCCATATGACGCATATTGGCCTTTCTTAATCCAATCTAGAACTGCTTTCTTGGCTAAATCTAGCATATCTCCCCAACATGCTTTGCTTTCTTTTTTAGATTTTTCTGTCTCCTCCTTTCTATCTTCACATTCTTCTTTTTTTCTTCTCCTTTTTCTGTTTATTTTATCCTTAAACCTTGGGTTGAATCTTCTTTTCGCCCTTCTTGTTATTCCAATTTTTCTTTTTCATTCTTGAACTAGTTTGTATCTTGCGATCTATATCTTTTCATAAACTTGTTTTATTCAGTTCCTTCAGAGTTTTTCTATAAAGCTGAGAGTCTGTTTGTTTGAGTCAAAATTTTGTCGCAAATCATCGAAGTCTTCTTTTGTAATTAGACCTCTGATCCATCTAGCTCTTCATTGTAGCTCTTCAAGCGTGCTATCTTTTTCTAATACTACGAGTATTAACTCTTTCTTTCTTCTATGTCTTCTTGTACTATTTTATCAAGAACTCTTTCTACTTCTTGTTTTTCTATATCTCTTAGAAGGTTCGTTGAAAACTCGCAGCTAACTAAATATTCTATATTTTTATCTTTCTTTTGTATACTATACATGTTGGGGCTTTGTATAGATTAGGTCTTCTTTGATTGAGCTTTGCTAGTACTGGTAATGCATTATTACACATTTTATTTCAAAGAGCTGCTGTGTATTTAACTTGAAAGTATAGTTTTGCTATTTTTTCCCACTCTTCAAGATTTTGTAAAATACAGGCCAGTGTTGTACAACTTTTCCTTCTTGATGTGAGGCATCTTGATAACCATGTATATGTACCCATTCCACTCTATTAATCACTTTTTCTAGCATTTTAATAAAAGAGCATGTTGGTTTTTCTATTAATTCGCCTTCCCAACTATATTTTAGCTTGAACTCTTTTGTACTCAGTGTGTTGGGAATTAAAAGTTTTGCACTGCCTGCACCTTCTTTAGCCTTAATATCTGCTAGATCATTATAAAAGTCCCCTGAGTGACCCTTGACCTTTATTAGTTCAAGTACTAGCTGTTTGGTTTTGATCACTTCTGCTATTGTTGCAACAAGACCACTATTCTTGGTTTTTATTCAATGTCTAACTTTGTATATTTTAAGCTCTTTCTAAATTGCTAGTATAGCTGCCTTACTGTCAGTTCTTATCTTTACTTTCTTTTTTTTTGGTATTACTAATATTGCAACAAGTATTGCAACAAGTTCTGCTCTGGTTGATGAAACCTAATTTTTTGTTACAAGAGCAATCTGACATAGGATTTGTCCCTATTCTGAAACTTGCTCTATTCTGTAACACATTTTCATCACCCCTGAAACTTTATATGTCCTGAGTGAGCCATTAGTATAAAAAACTAAACTATCTAAACTAGTTTTTGATCCAAATATTCTATATGCCTATCTCTAATATCTATGTTTTCTACCACTTTTCTAATAATACATACTTTCTACCTATTACATTCTACTAATACTATCTCTTCTTTTTTCTTATCACATATCTCTTTTTTGGTTACTATTGTCTTTTGCTTTTTCTATCTCAATGCTTCAACAAGATAATGTGAGTCAAAAACTATTTGTGGGCTATTTTTAGTTTTCTGTATAATGTTTGATATATCACTCAGTTCTTTTTGTTTTACTGATTCTAGTATATGACTCTGGTTGTGCTTTAGAGCTTTTGCATCTCTGTGTGTTTGCACTGTTTTACCTTCTGTATAATTTTCTATTTCTGCATACTTTCCTACTTTCTCTTTGATTTTTTCAATCTTTATATCTGCATGAGCTTGGTCTTCCTATATAACCTATTCTTTTGTCCTTTTGTTTACTCTTATAGGATTTAGTGCTAATATAGATGCATTGTAATTGCATGATTTGATCCTGTATACTGGTTTATTTTCTTTTATCTTTATATTTGCAATTATTTCTTTTTCTAGCTTCTCGAACTACTTGGTTTTCTTTTCTCTTTTATCTAAGTTATATATTATTTTTAATTGCTTCTACATATACATTTCTTTGCTATCTTCTGAAAGTAACTATAAAGTGGTCTATAAACCTAGCTTGCTCGCATTGG